GTCACGTCACAGCTGATCGTCCAGAGTCACGTCACAGCTGATCGTCCAGAGTCACGTCACAGCTGATCGTCCAGAGTCACGTCATGGCTGATCGTCCAGTCACGTCACGTCACGGCTGATCATCCAGAGTCACGTCACGTCACGGCTGATCATCCTGAGTCTCGTCAGGACACGGCTGATCGTCAGGACTCTTTTCATGTCCTCTCTGTTGCACCCAGATCTTCAAGGTCAGTCTTTCGGTATCCCAGTCTGGTATCTAGTGTGAGGGATACACCACTGGTGTCTGCACGCACAGCTGGTATCCCCAAACCCACTCACTCTAACCCTTCTGTTCCTGAACTAATTCCCTTGTCTGAAGTGTTTGCCCTGATGGGGATCGCTTTTTGGTGTGTTTGGGCTGCATACAACACCACAGAACTCCCAGAGGCAGCGGCGCCCACTATTAGGTCTCCAGAGGTGGGGGCTGAAGCTGCAGAATCTCCTGAGGTAGTGGTGCTCGCTGCTGTGTTCCCCGAAGCAATGGTGCCCGCTGCAGTTTCTCCAGAGGTGGCGGCGCATGCTGCAGAACCTCCCGAAGCAGTGGTGCTCGCTTCAGCTCCTTGAGTTGTGGTGGCACCCAGAAATGCACTTTCAACCTGTCATGTCAAGGTTGATGGAACCTTTGCCGAACTCTCCCTGTATCTTGAGGGCACTACTGTAGAACCTCCAGAGGTGGCGGCACCCGCTGCAGAACCTCCAAAGGTGTCAGTAGTACATACCTGTGAACTTCCTGTTTGCCCTGTCACGGCTATGGAGGCCGTTTGTGAGCTCTTTGCCTGTCCTGCCACGGCCATGAAGGTCGTCTGTGAACTCTCTGCCCGTCCTGTCACAGCTATGGAGGCCGTTTGTGAAGTCTCTGCCTGTCCTGTCACAGCCATGGAGGCCGTCTGTGAACCCTCTGCCCGTCCTGTCACGGCTATGGAGGCCGTTTGTGAACTCTTTGCCTGTCCTGTCACGGCTATGGAAGCCATCTGTGAACTCTCAGCCTGTCTTGAAACGGCTATGGAAGCCGTCCGTCTGCTCTGCCATGGTGGCGTTCTGCTCCGCCGTGGAGGTCTACTGTCTGGCTCTGGTGGTCTTCTGCTCCACCGTGGTGGACTGCTGTCTGGCTCTGGGGGTCTTCTGCTCTACCTCCTCCGCCGTGGTGGTCTGCTGTCTGGCTCTGGTGGTCTTCTGCTCCATCTGCTCTGGTCTGGTGGTCTTTTGTCCTGCTCTGGTGGTCTTCAGCTCCACCTGTATTGCCGGCTCTGACCTGGCTCTCTGCTCCGCCAGTCCTGCCTCAGTCCCCGGTCTCTCCACTTCCACGTAGACCTGGCCCTCCATCCCTCCCCCGTTCCGCCTCCGCTCCACCGCCCTCCTGAATCGTAAAGTGTTTGGAGCGTCTGGAACCTTGGCGGGGGGGGGGCTATGTCACGAATCCGGTCTATGAACTTCAATTCACTCACCACCAGAGGTCACCCTTCCATTACATTGATACTTTACGAAGCCTTTTCCCTGTGTTAGTTTCTAGTTCCTAGTTCTAGTCTTAGTCTAGTCTCGCCGTGTTTTCTGATTTCCTGGTACCTGATTTTTGCCTGTTTATCTTGAGTTAACCCTTTGCCTGCTGTTTTGGACTGTGTTTGCACCTCGCCTGGACTCTAGCTCGTGTTATTGGATAACCCCTAATGTCAAGCCCTCTGGATATTGTTAGCCGCTTATCGACCACGCCCGTTTTGGATTACTCTTCTGTCTTGCCCTCAATATACCTGTTTGGCATTGTCTGACCCATGCCTGTTTTATGACCACGTCTCTGTCTCCTATTAAAGCTTTGCAAATGGATCCGCAAGTCTCATGTCTCGTTCGTCCCGTAACAGATTTCCATCTCTCACTGCATTAAATGACTATGGAAACACAGATTCCCGAAACAATTTAAGTATATCAAGCATGATGTGCTTCAGTGGTCATTAAATGCTTTTTTTTTACTTAAAATTGTTTTTTTTTAATCACATTATTCATTTTTTATTAACTGAGCTAAATTAACATTTTAAATTGACCATCCTAATTTATACATTTACTTATCATGAATGATATATTGAGAAGCTGTAACATTTACAAATGTACTGGAAGTGAACTTCAGACTAAGCTCTAACTACTGAGATTGATTCCTGGTGTATGCCACAGCTGTACAGTTTTGTATTCACACTCTACCCATCCTGTGATACTATGTGTCAGCTCTTGTTTATGGGGTGTGATTAGAGAGATGAAACTGAGGAGCAGGGGCTATCAGATTACACACACACACACATTCTGTTTCTCTGCCAGTACAGTAGAAAACACGCTTAGTGGGATTATACAAATCTGACTGACAGGAAAATGAGTTAGTACTCGTATACACATGCACACACATACATGCCCGTGAGACACACACAGAAAGACTTACTCCCTAATACAAAGAAAGAAAGAAAAAGAAACTGTCTGCACTGATTATATGAAACAATGTTGAATACAGGTTAAATTATTTGTTTAATTAATTATCAATCTAATGCTTTGAGGTAAACACATACTTTCAGTACACACACAAACTCTTGTACACGCTCTCTGGGTGGAGAACGCAAAAACATCCAAGTGATGACAAGCACTACAAATATCTGTGCATGCTGGGACAGTGTGATTTCTGATGGAGCAATTAGAGTCCTTTCCAAAAAGGTGGATTTGCATATCAGTTTTATAATCCAGATGATGGGAACTCAAAGTTTTTTGGCCTAGTTCCTAATTTAGCTTGTGCTCATTGTTTATTGTCATTTCTATGTTATTTTCACTTTAAACACTTACTTTGACAAGTCGGAATATCACAGTATTTCCAGTAGATTCCATCCTCGAGATCTGCAATGTAACACCATGGCCGAACATCTCCATCTGGGTTCCTGTGCGAGAAAGACAGACTGTTAAAATCACTGTTAGGGAAGTGACTTTGAAGCCACAAACTTTTTGAACTAAAGTAGTTCAAAAACAGTAATTTCCCCTTTTGAAAAAGTAGTACTACAATACAAGCTACTAACAAATAAATTTTCAGTGATTTTGTTTTTTCTGTAGGTTACATCTTTACGCCAGTAGGTGGCGACAAATGACTTGTCTTTATGGGTGAATCAGTGAATCATTCATTCAAGTGAGTTGTTCAAAAAGTAATTAAAAAATGAATCAGTGATTTTTTTGATCCTTTTTTTGATTCTTATCCTCACCAAGACTGCATTTGATTAAATATACAGTAAAAAAAGTAATATTGTGAAATTTTGTTACAATTTAAAATAAAACATTTCTATTGAAATATATTTTAAAATGTAATTGATTCCTCAGCATCATTCTTCAATGTCACATGATCCTTCAGAAATCATTTTAATATGCTGATTTGGTGCTCAAGAAACATTTCTTCTTATTATCAATGTTAAAAATAGTTGTGCTGCTTAATAGGTTTGTGGAAACCGTGATACATTGTTGTTATTGTTTTTTGATGAATTGAACGCTTAAAAGAACAGCATTTATTTGAAAGATATATATTTTTTTGTAACATTTGAAAAGTCCTTATTGTCACTTTTGATCAATTTAATGAATCCTTGCTGAGTAAAAGCATTAATTTCCTTACTTTACTTTTGAACGGTAGTGCAGTTTCTTGCTTCTTGTGAAAAAGTAGCTACACTACTATGAAAACAACTGAAAGATTGTCATGCTACTGAAAAAATGTCAAGTTAGTAGAGTCGGTGCTTTTGGTTAGTTACTGCAGATAATTTAGTTCAAGCGTAGCTGTCACTAAAGAGAAAAGCCTTTTAAAGGGTTGTCAGCCAGACAGAAACACCCCCTACAGCGGCAACCTATGTGCTTTATTGAGCCTCTTTTTCTCCCCCTGCCCTGTCCATCCAAGCATGTCCACCTCCAGGTCGGCGTCTACGAGAGGGGCTGACGAAGGGCTTTGTTCCTTTCCAGACAGTGACCTGCAGAGTTCTCCGGCTTTGTCTGCTTCAAAACCCCTTTAAGCTCTCTGGTGTGTACTTTAAACCTTGATGCCCAAACCCCAAAAAGCCTTCAAACAGGGTATTGATTACAACCGCACAGCCAGACGAGGCAGTGATTGGTTGATTTCTTCATGAACTGAACATTCATCATAAAAAAGTCTGACCGAATCCCCCTTCACATGCACTACGGTTGCCCACGCCATCAGAAACAACGATAATTGCGAGAAAAGCTATTCTTCTTGTCTTTTAGGAGTCACAATGCAACATCTCGAGCTCGACCCTGAGGCGACAGCTATCTGATTTCAGCCATTGTGAAGTGGAATCAAAAGGGTGTGCCACGGTCTTTTCTTCCCCTATCAAAAACACTTTCCAGCTTCTCTTCTTCTCTCTTTACAACAGGAAAGTGTATTGAGTGAAGCGTCTTTTCATGTGTCTTCTTTTTTGTGTCCGGGGAAACTTAACCTCAGCTTGGAGTCAGCTAAATATCTCCCATTTTCCCTCCTGTTTTTCTTTTCTGTTGAGGAGAATGAGATCTGGCCTGCTAACAAACCAGTCTGGCTTTGGAGCCGAGTGTGTATTTCGACCATCAAGATCAACAAACCCCTACGGCCTGATGGGATTTTCATTATGACTCAAGTCAAGTATAATGGCTATTTTGCATAGCTTTTTGAATAATGTATTCTCCTCTTCAGGAAAGACACCTGTTTGGAGTTGAAGTCTTGAGGGCAATTGAGGTTCAGTGGAGAAGATTAGATTATAAGAGGAATCTATCTTGTTGGCAGATATATATATAAACATACTCATTGTGCCAGGTTTCTATATGGCTTTATTTGATCCAGGCTGCCTCTGGGGTCACACAGCAAGTACTTAATGGAACAGTTCACACACAAAAATTAAAATTTTGTCAGCATTTACTCACCCTCATGTTGTTCCAAACCTGCATAACTTTCTATCGTCTGTGGAACTCAAAAAGTGAAGTTTTGAAGAATAGCTTTGGACACTCTATTTAATGAAAGTGAATGAGAACTGGGGCCCGCCAAGCTCCAAAATTACAAAAAAGTACCATAAAAATGGTCCAAACAACTCATATACTACATTCCAAATCTTCTGAAGCCATGTAACAGACGAAATTGTAATTGTTATGCGCTGACAGCTCTTCTTGGCACATACTCTAAACTGTGAACAAATTGTTCTTCTGAAGTGGATCTTTTCAATGAATCAGCTCACAAATCTCAATGATTCGTTCATGAACTGGACTGATCTGGTCCTTGAGTTCAACTCAGTAACTCAAACATGAGTTGGCAACCATTAACAGCTCACTGGAGGGGAAGATGATGAGTAAATAACAACTGAAATTCTGATCTGTTCATCACACAAAACCATATCGTATGATATTGTCTGTTTACAAGCCATATGAATTACTTTTATGATATTGTATGATAATTACATTTTGATTCTGAGTCCTTTTTTAAGCTTGAAAGCTGTGGTCCCCATTCAGTCAAAATTTCTCTTTTTGTATTCTGTTCAAGAATCATTCAGTTTTAGAATGAGATAAATGAGTGATGAGTAAATGGCAGAATTTTCATTTTTTTCCATTAACTAATCCTTTAATTCATCTGTTTAAAAACCTTTAAATCAATCACCCTCCTTCCCTCAAGGGTGAGAGGAAAGCATTGCCACAGAAAATGCAGGGCTGTAGTTCCAGACCAGATATAATAGGTTGCTTTGATCACCAAACGCAGACCTGTTTGCCCCCAAGACTTCTCAAATGTGTGGATGTGTACGTGCTCGTGTGTGTGTGCAAGAGTGTACTTTACGATGATAAGTGTGTGTGTGTGTGTGTGTGTGTGTGTGTGTGTGTGTGTGTGTGTGTGTGTGTGTGTGTGTGTGTGTGTGTGTGTGTGTGTGTGTGTGTGTGTGTGTGTGTGTGTCCAGTTAATCCTGCAGGGTCAAGTACCTTCAGTGAATGAGTGAAGAATCTCAGGGCCTTTCATGTGTTACCGTAATGACGGGGACATCATCTGTTCGGACTGGTTAATGGGATGGGGAATTACCCCTGCCTTTGGAGATTTATAACCTCCTCAAGGAGATGGCAAGACTTTAGAACTGCCCCTAGGAAACATCAACCATCCCCAGAGAGATCTCACTTTGTGATCACTCTTCATATTATGTAAAACGTCATATTATGTAAATACACAATTTTATATGTTTATACTGTGTAAACAGCCAGTGAAAGTCCAAGACCACATTGAAAATCTGGGTCTCAACATCTAAAACCTAAATAAAGAAAAAGGTTTTTAATTCTGAAAAAAATTGTACAATGAAACATGGAGTAAAATGAGTCTATAATCAGATTTGTGACACTGATCATCTGAAGTCTTTGTATAGATGGTACAGATGTGCTTGCTTTCATTGAAGCACAAGATGCTCTTCGGAACAAATACAAAAGAGGAATAGATCAAATAAATTTTTCACTTCAATTATCATTCTGACAATATAATTGGTAAAGTAAATATTTGTATTAAAATTGAAAGAAAGAAGCATTTTCATTAGTGGTCTTGGACATTTGGCTTCTTTCTTTCATTTTCAATTGTTTCTTGTAGACAGCAATGATAAGGAGAGCAAATAGAGCCTCTTGCTTCTCAGATATTTCCCCTGAGCAACGTTCCTTAGTAATTTCACGTTTATCCTCTAGAGTTTCAGAACAGATGAGATTTGATGGAGATAGCAGCAATCCAAGTCTGTGATTAATATGGACTCAAATGTTTGTCATTAAATTCTCCCAAGAACAAATTATTACCAAATTATGGAATCCATCTCTTAAAGGGACAGTTCATCAAAAAATTTTAATTCTGTTATAATTTTCTCACCTTCATGCCATTCCAACCCTGTGTAAAAAATATCTTCTGCAGAACACAATTACAAGTTATTTTGAAGAACATTGGCAACTTTGTTGCTATTGTATGAACAAAAACACAATTCTTTTCTCAAAAATATCTTCTTTTATGTTCCACAGAAGAAAGTAAATCACACATAAATTACCACAATTTTTATTTTACAGTTATATATTCTTACTGTCTACAATTTTAATTTCCAAAAGTATTTTAGGAGAAACACCTGAGGCAAAGTTGATACTTTAGAAACAACTGAGGATCATCATTAAGTCTCCTGAGCTATGTAAGAGCAACCTCTGCGAAATAGAAATTTCGGTAACACTTTACAATAAGGTTCCATTAGTTAATGTTAGTTAATGTATTAACTAACATGAACAAACAATGAAAAATACATTTATTACAGTATTTATTAATCTTTGTTAATGTTAGTTAATGAAAATACAGTTGTTCATAGTTAGTTCATGTTAATTCACATCGCATTAACTAATGTTAACAAGCACAACCTTTGATTTTAATAATGCAGTAGTAACTGTTGAAATTAACATTAACTAAGATGAATAAATGCTGTAGAAGTATTGTTCATGCTTAGTTCATGTTAACTAAAGTAGTTAACTAATGTTAACTAATGAACCTTATTGGAAAGTGTTACCGAAATTTCTTTTGAGTAGAAATACAGAACTATGAGTTGGCATTGGAACGCTTTGCAGCAAGAGATAAATATGTGTACTTAAGGTTTATATTTTTCTGTGCAGTTTTTCACAAACAAAAATAGAAGGCTTTCCACGATGACCACAAATATCATTGCAACACTAAATGTGATGTGCAAGAACAATGTGTCGAACCGTTATGGTTTATTGCAACACTCTCTCGCTCCTTTTCACTTTTCTCTTGCTCTAATTTGTTACTAGCCATCTGAACTGAGAGAAAACCAGCTGTTCTTGTCTGGCCTGCGTTCAAACGCTTCTCTTTAATAACCGCTCTCCATGCACCATAATCATAAAATTTATGATAAACTTTTAAAAT